TGTGAGGCTTTGAAAGATAAGGTTGCTGACCATTTAGAAGATGGACAATTTTTTGGTAACCACGAAACTGACCGGGAGCAATTTTCATCAGTTTTGCCCCACAATAAATTGTCAGAGAGGGTGTTTGGGCAATTAGACTGGTTACTTAGACACCGACCTAACTCAAGTAAAATAGCAAATGAGGCACATATCATATACAGCATGAATTGGACAGCCAATTGGTTGCAACAAAAAGACGAAGAAAAAGTCGAGGAACTCATTTCATGGTCAAAAAAGAATTTAAAGAGTATGAAAGAAACTGAAAAACAAAGAATACAAGAACTCGATTTACAATTGAGACAAATCAGCATCGATAAAGACAACAGAACAAAAGCTTTGGCAGCAAAGTCAAGGGAAAGAAAAGAGTTGTTGAAGCAGGAAATTGTGAAATTTGGCTTTTGGGATAAAAAAAAGGTGTTGTAAATGCTAAGTTAAAGAAATTAAAAACACAAACAGCAAAACGTAACTATGTTTTGGAACAAAAAGCAAACATCAAATATTTCCGAGTCACCAAATACCAAAGACAAACTGTCACAATTAATGGGTTGAAAACAAATCTATTAACTCTGATTTCCATGCCGACGAACAACTGTGAAGGTAGAGGTAAATATATTTGTTTTTATTCGTTGAAAGCATTTGTTTGAATATTTAAATTTCGAAATATAAAATAAATCTAAACAAATATTTCTAAAAAAATATTAATTAAAGACCTGAACATTGTTTTTTGCTGCTTCGCCACTCTGTTCGCGGATATTAATAGAAAGAGCAATGACATGATAAATTGTAATCCATCTAGCACTTTATAAATCATACTTAGTGTGTCGTGTTGATCGAGTACAACGCAGGTTTCATATCCATGTTTATGTCCTAACATGTTTGTAAAATTTGTCACTGTTAGTTAAACACCGCGTCACTTTTCAGACCTGCATATATTTTGGTTATCACACTTTGAACTCGAGTGTACCTGATGAATATTATTTCAGAATCACATGTCATGGGTTTCACGAAAAGCAGCGATAAAAAAAAATATATATAGATAGATACACCCTACGGCTTGACAAATAATTAAGAATGACGACAGAAAAATGTTAATCATAATTGAATATTGTAATTTTATTTGTAGAAAACAGAGGTGAGGAATAACAGTGAACGAGCGAGAAGACGTATTGACTAGTTATTTTAGACTACGTGTAAACTCAAACAATATGAGTAAATGTATTCTTTCTGCATAAAAAAATAAATAATTTCATTCATCCAAATTACCCTATATTATTAGTTGTAGAGGTCGCTATGTTTGACCTTGGTTGTTTGTCTTTAGTCTGTTGTTTAGTCATGGCCTTGTCTTGTTCATCCATTCATATACCCAAATGTTGAGAACTGTTTTCTATACACCACTTAATAAAATAAAGGGAGTTTTATAGTATCTTCTCTAAGTAGATGAAAACTTATTCTGTCTCCATAGTACAAAAGTAATGAAGATTCGTGGTAACTTTTATAACCCTGCCAATTTTTTGATATAAAAATATGGAGATGGGTTATGATTGCCTATATGAGAGAACTATCCACCAAAGTTCAAATGAAGTGTATGTAAGACTTATAGACAACCGTAAGGACTTCAACAATGAAGAAAAACCCATTCCTTATATTCGGCTACAAAAGGCCTGACAGCAAATATGAAACAATTTAATCGAAAAAAAATATTTTTAAATGTATACAATGTACACAATTTCACGATTATTCATGGAATATAAATGAAAAGAGTTACTTCCCATTCAAGATTTGATTTTGCTGAAAGTTATGCACAATATATGTCGTTTATGTTTATTATATACACATTATATACGTCTTAAAATATGAACAAATATATATTCAAGCAATGCTGTTTATTATTATAAACATGACCAATTATTTGCAAATGCCAGTTTTTAACATCTTTTTAGCATATTTGCAAAGTCAATATTTCTTTAAAGTACATCATTTTTTCTTTAATACAACAAGACCATGTGTACAAGAAGTATTTTCAATAAGACAATGTTTGGTTTTTCCTATTTCATCACATTTCATGCATGATTGGTAATGATGTAGTCATAGAAAAATGAAGTAATGTATATTGTTCACTAAATAGAAATATGGCAGTAAAAAATTTGCATTTCCATGAAAATCATACAGATGCTAAGGGTCACAGGTCAAAGAAGAAAATAAAACTGTATGCCTCATTAAATTTGTACTACAGAGTACAATCAAATAATATATATTTTATGTGCATTTATTTCATATGAAAAAATCCCACAGAGTCCCTATGGCGTAAACTGCTTATTGTCTTTATTGCATTCTGTTATGTTTGTGTCTGCAAAACATTAAACATTCAGCAGCTCTGTTTAAACTCATCATAGATACCAGGATTGAAATTTTATATTTGCGCGAGACGAGCGTTTCGTCTACAAATGACTCATCAGTTACGCTCGAATAAAAAAAAGTGAAAAAGAAAAAAGTAAAAAAAAAAAAAAAAAAAACGAATAAAGTACGACATTCAAGAGCATTGAGGACCAAACATTCCTAAAATTTTGCCAATTACAGCTATGGTAATATATTCCTGAGACAGAAAAAGCCTAACTATTTCAAAAATGTAAATTTGCAAACAGTTCATTTATAATTTTGACCATATCAATGATAATTCATGTCAGCACAGACTTTAGTCACTTTATAAAATTGAGTAAGAGCAACGTATGTATATCGTTGAACAATATCTGCCGTGAAGAGATGAATTGTTCGTATCGATTTTGTGCTACTTTTTTATGTGTTCCTCAAGATCTCATTGAATCAGGAACAATTAAAGAATTAGAATTAGAACACTTAATAATTTCGTTCAACCGAGGCAAAAGTTTGGATATACATACAACGCTTACGGTCAAATATAACTATTTGAAAGCCAGTGGTGAAACAGATGGTTGGACTCATTTTTTGCTCACCTGGCCCAAAGGGCCAAGTGAAATTTCTCTTTGCTTTGTATCTAATTTATAAAATGTGTCCGATGACCTTGCCTGCCAACCAAAATGGCTGACATGGCTAAAAATAGAACAGGGGTAAAATGCAGTTATTGGCTTATATCTCTGAAGCATTTAAAGTAAATCTGATGGTTTAGAAATGTTTATCAGGTTGAGATCTATCTGTCCTGATATTTTCAGATGAATCAGACAACCCTTTGTTGGGTTACTACAGCCCTTGGATGTTGTAAACTTCATAAAAAACCGTGTATGGTGTAATGGTGTATGGTATATGGTGCAATGGTAGAGGTGTATGGTGTAAGGGGAATGGTGTAATGGTGTAGCGTGCGATCGGGAATGATGTGAATGAATGTTGTACGACATTTAAAACTATGCAAAATATTGATAAGAACTGATTTTTAATTTTATACATTAATTTACAATAGTGTGATCAAAATTCGTTTTTTTAAATGAATAAATAATTTTGTAGTTGCACGCTTTCTTTGAAATTAAATTGCATTATGGTGTCATGTGAAAGGTGTATGGTGCAAAGGTGTAACGTGTTTGGTGTAATGTCACAGGGTGTACAGTGTAATGGTGTATGGTGAATGGTGTAATGGTGTATGGTGTTAGTGGGAAGTTTACACCATCCAAGGACTGTACCCCTGAACTAGTAATTTTAATGAAATTTTGCAGTTGTTGGTTATTATCTTGAATATTATCATAGATAGAGATAAACTGTGAACAGTAATAATGATAAAAAAAGTAAGATCTACAAATAAGTCAACATCACATAAATTGTCAACTGACCCCTTAAGTAGTTATTGCCCTTTAAAGTCATTTTTAGCAATTTATTCGTTAATTTTTGTAATCTTCTACAAAACTCTTCTCCTCGGATACTACTTAGACAAATTTAACCAGACTTGGCCACAATCATCATTAGGGTATCTAGCTTAAAAAATGTGTCAGTTGATCCCGCCTCCAAATCAACATGGTCGACATGGCTAAACATAGAACATAGGGTAAAATACAGTTTTTGGCTTATATCTCTCAAACTAAATTAATAAAGCATTTAGAGCAAATCTTAAAATTGGTAAAGATGTTCATCAGGTTGAGATCTATCTGAACTGAAATGTTCTGACGAATCAGATTATCTTGAATAATAATATAGATAGAGATAAACTGTAAGCAGCAATAATGTTAAGCAAAGTAAGATCTACAAATAAGTCAACATCTTCAAAATTGTCAATTGACCTTTATAGTCATTTTTGTCATCTTTTACCAAAATCTTCTGCTCTGAAACTATATACTAGACAAATTTAACCAAACTTGGCCACAATCATCATTAAGGTATCTATTTTATAAAATGTGTCAGATGACCCCGACTGCCAAATAAAGGCAACAGTAGTATACCGCTATTCGAAATTCATAAATCGATTGAGAAAAAAAACCAAATCCGGGTTACAAACTAAAACTGAGGGAAACACTTCAAATATAAGAGGAGAACAACGACACAACAGAAACAAAACACTAAAATGCAACACACACAGAAACGAACTATAATATAACAATGGCCATTTTCCTGATTTGGTACAGGACATTTTAAGAAAAAATGGTTGGTTGAACCTGGTTTTGTGGCTCGCCAAACCTCTCACTTTTATGACAATGTTAATTATAACACTAAAATGACAGCCAAAACAATTACAAAGTTGAAGAGCATTGAGGACCAAAAGTCCAAAAAATGTGCCAACCAACATGACCGATATGGTTTAAAATAAAACATAGGGGTAAAATGCAATTTTGGCTTATATCTTCTAAACTAAAGCAAAAGTATAATGGTTGCATTATTTTATGCATCAATTGTAAACAAAATTAATTAAGTGAGCGACACAGGCTCTTCGAGTGCGGATGCAATTTATATTTTTCAGTAATGTTACTGTACTTATTTTTTAAGGTTAATTTACCTTTATGTTGTAGGACTTAAATATGTTATCTCCGGGACATTTAGGAATGTTAGATGTTCTAATAGACGATATCAACCTGTCAGATTCTGGTCAAACCAAAGCAGTATCTGCATGAATTTAAAGTCAGAGTGTAACTATTTTGGAGAAATTGTATACAACAACAAATCATCAATTTATGATGCCACTTGTAGATGTGATTACACCAGAGGATATGCATTTGTCTCTGAGCCTAGAAATAAGTGTTTCTGTATTCCGTCCGAAGAAGATTGTTCCTGTTACATCAACCAATGTACAACAAATACTACACTATCTCCTGGTTAGTGTTATTTATGCTGATTCTCATGTTTTGTTACTTGTCGATGAAAAAAATACTGGTTACATGTTGATGTTATAAATTGTGATTACTTTTTATACAACATTCTATTTTTCAAGCTATCAAATCTTAGAATTCATGGTTATTCCTTTATATCGTAGAAATATCTGACACATGTATCAAATTTCATTTTCTAATACAATTGATTCATGTCTTGTTTGTCATTTAGCTTGTCACTGATATACTTAAACTTTGATTGTTTTTTTCGACTCTGAAAAAGGTTTATACAAGTATAAAAGAGGGGCGAAAGATACCATTCAAACTCATAAATCGAAAATAAACTGACAACGCCATGGCTAAAAAAAAGACAAACAGACAAACAATAGTACACCAAACACAATATAGAAAAATGAAGACTCAAATAAAAACTGTAGAAATGTTATAATAGTAAGTTCAAATTGAAGGAGTGATTCATTTATTCATCATTTCCCTATTCAAGTTAATCGAGGTAAGAGTATCCAAAATTTACAAATTTACTATCTAGTCAAAGTGTTCGTTTTACAAATTAAAATGTCATATATTTCGTTTTGTGTTACATATTCTTCTTTCTATACGTAAAGGGTTTCCCCTGATTCAATTTTCTTTTTCGCCACCTCTCTCAATTCGCCAAAACAATATTTTATTCGCCACTTTCATTTTTTTTTCGCCAACTAAAAACTAACAGAATCATATTTTTTCTTTAAAATTTCCCTTTTTTTTTTAAACAAAACAACATATCAGTTTGCCTCTTTGTTGTCTATGATTATGCTACAAATCTTTTTTTAATCTACATTATTGTAATGAACAAACACTAAACATTTACTTTTCAAAAGATACTGTAAAAAGAAAATAAAGATCATGACATCTTACTGTTTGACTGAGAACACGAGATCGATCTTCAATAAGTATATCTGATATATATTGTCCTGTCTAGTTGAAGGATAAAGACTAAAGTCTGAGATTATTCTTACAATTGAATTTATTTCTACGTAGCAAAAGTTTTCTTTTCCGGACTATCGTAAAAAGTAAAAGTCGGGACGTAAAACTATGCGTCACCAACACGGTTCTAAAGAACTGGCACCCACTTCAAATCAATTACTTCTTTCAAATTAGAGGAAAAGGTTTATAAAGTCGGATATTTTTCTTGCTTTTGAATAGTTTTCGTTAACACAACAGTTTTCTTTTCCGGACCATCGTTAAAAAAATTACTGATTTTCTGTTAAAATCGTAACAACATGGTGAATTCCGATTATTGTCTGATCAGGTTAAGTCCGAGAAACCCGAAAAAAAGTTAACAAGATGGATGAAACCAAAATGTTATATTTCTTTCGCCAATAATGAATTTTAATCACCACAATTTTTATTGTTTCGCAAAATGCGAAAATGGCGACAACCAGTGGAAACCCTGCGTGTATGCATGTTAGCAGCAGACTGTACTCTAAATAAAAATAGCACATTTTTTTCATATATGTATCTTTTAACTAACTATCGCATTTCATATTCAGCTTATCAAAATTAAAACGATTCAATACGAGTAAATGCAAACATTTTCCATTGTTGTTTTAGATTATGAATGCATATATAGTGATTTAGCGAATGAAAAGATCTATTGCCAACATGATATTAAAAGGTAATTGTTTTTTATCTTGCTTGATGATTGTTAATCTCGTAAACCACTTCAATATGCTAACATACTTTTCGATAGCATAGATAACACTCTTGGTTTTTGGTGAGGTTAGGGTTGATTAGTTTTTTTTTTCTTTAAGTATTGTGTCTTTCCAACGTTTTGCAGTTTTTGCTTTGACGCTGATGGTTTCTTTTTGAATACCATCCGTCCCTTTAACACCTCTTTTTCAATTTGATTGTTAAAACACATTTACAACATTTAGTATTTCTATAATAAATAAACATCTCTGAGTAGATAAATGATGTATAATAAATAAATAAAGATGTGTTACAAACGACACAAAACAAGACATGCACCAAACAATGATGTAACTACAATGAAGTAACGTAACAACTTTTCCCCAAGAGCCGACATTGACACTACACATCACTATATTAATATATTGCTATATTTCAGGCAAAAGCATGGAAATGAAACTGACATGGCTGTTTTATTTGAAGGTAAGGACCCCTCAAAAAGTGTATCATTCCTAAATAATTTGATTTGCAAGGTCGAAATACATTTTCAGGAAAAGAGCTTATATAGATTAATTTTATTTGTAAAAAGGATATAACAAACTTTTGAAATTGTAGAAGTATTTCCTTCTGCCCCAAAATACATTTTTATTCATTTGAATATGTTTATATATTTTAACTGCGTGCTACCTTTCCGGAGCAGTATATTCTAGCAGAGGAATAGGGAAAACAAGTTGACTTTACAAATTGAATGTATTGTTAAGATCCTGAAACACTTCTCAAAACTATCTACGAACTAGATTACACAGGCAAATTTTGTTCACGTGAATTTCACGTGAGTCTCATTTCACGTGAAAGTCACGTAAAATTCACGTGAGTTTCACATGAATTTCACGTGAATCTTTGCTCACGTGAATATCACATGAATTTTTCATGTGAATTTCACGTGAACAGTTTTCACGTGAAATTCACATGAAATTCACGTGAAACTCACATGATCTGACTTACGTGAATTTAACGTGAACTTGTTAACGTGAAACTCATGTGAAATTCATGTGAATTTCACATAAACTTTTTTTCACGTGAAATTCACGTGATCTCACTCATATGAAATTCACATGATTTGACTCACGTGAATTTCACATGATCTGACTAACGTGAAAATCACGTGAAACTTATTTGATCTGACTGAGGCTTATTTTTTATATAATGTGCTTACGTGGTTGGTTTTGCACAAGATAAAATCACGGTTTAAAATAATTAAGTGTGTGCACTAATTATTGCCATTTTGACATAATCGCCAAAATGTAAAAATAATTATTGAAGAAGAATTAGAATAAGAATATAGATATTTTATTTGTTTGAAATACAAAAATTAACAAATTCTAACAAAATTTCACAATAAACATTTTAAAAACATACATTTACTAGCACTTTAATATAATTTACATAAAAGGGGGACATATAACCATCAAATGATTGATATTTATCTTTTTATTTCGCATGAATTATCTCCCTTGATAGTGGATTAGATGCAACTACAAAAAGATCAGTGTTGGTTTTGAGTTGTATTTCCTATCACTGTTTATATTTATCTCTAGTAGAGCAATAAGGGTAGAATTTGTATCTTTGATTTCAAATTCCTAGATACCTAGATTATATTGATGGGCTATTATTGATTTATCAGTAAACTTAATTTCTTTCACACATTGAAAGTTTTCTTTATTTTTGTTCTCTTATGAAATATGGGAGGTAACTCCAGCTTATGAAATAGATTCCTGTTACTGTAATTAAGATCCTTTACTTTCCATAATTGCAAAGGAAAAAAAATGATAATGAATATCAGTTACTTCAAAACCTGAGTTATCTCCCTTTTTTGCTGTGTATTAAACTTTTCCTCATACTTATAATTCAAGTACAATTTTGAGCTTTGAACCACACATAAGTTTAACAATAGGACATATGAATAAAAATATGTAAGTGTGCTGAAAAGAATTTTATTGGGCCAAATGTTGTCAATAAATGTAAAATTGAATGTTTATCAAAGTATATATATTGGAAGTGCAGTATATTTTTAAAACTGCTTTGCTTTCAGAAATATGAGTATTACAAAAGCGGTAAATGCTAACTACTCCCTCATCTAAAAAAAAAGGAAGAAAAAAGAAAAAAAATATCTTCTCTCAGGGATTGCATGTGTATCAACTGGATTGCAATTTATGTGTTGGTAGACTTCAAAATATTTTATAAACCTTTTTATAATGATCAAGATTTCTCAATTTTTCCTTTTGAGTTAATGAGTTGTCAGGGTTTGTCAATCAATGGGAAAAATTTTAAACTAAATATTAATTTTATAATTTCAGTAGTAACTAGGTAGGGATTTATTTAAATTTTATGTTGTGTTTTTTTTACATTGAGTCTATGGGAGTAACATTCTGACTTAACAGTGCTTAATGAAAAATGACAAAAAAATCTTTAGGGTAGGCTATTATTAAGACTAAAAAGTAGGGTAGTTAGGGTAACGGTGAGTGGAACCACACATATATCATAGGCGAATCCAGGGGCTCTGCCATCCCCCCCCCCCCCCCCCCCCCCCATTTTGTGGAAAAAATTTTGGTTGATTATATAGGGAATCACTGAAGCATGACTGCAGCGGCACCCACCTTAGGTCAGTTAGTGCCCCCTCACCCTATGAAAAGTTCTGGATCCACCAATGTATATTTTCATTTGGCTTATTAATAAGTATGTTTTAAGAAGATTATTAAGGATTGTCTGAAATAATTTGTTAATTTATAGCGAATGGTTGGTTAAATTTACAACTTTGATAGATGTGATATTATTTATTAAAAAAAAAATAGTCTTGAAACATGTAAAACCAGGAATTTTACACCTAAAAATGCTGTATAATTTTCAAATATTTATTATTATCTTTTAAAATTAATAGATAATAAACATATTTTAAGTCCTATATAGTGTCCCAGGCAAATGCATTAATGTGCTATGTATGTTATCAAAAATTATTGATTGACATTAAATTATTACCAGAGGCATATATACTAAATAATGTCTCTAATATTATTTAGCTGTAATAAATGTGAGGGTATGATTGCCAATTAGACAGGCTGTTAATAGGATTAAACATATATATTCTTCAACTAAATGAAATGACTTCATTGAAATTATATCTAACAATATAGTTTATATTATATATATTAAAATATATCAAATAGTTTTAACAGAGACATATATATATGTCTCTGGTTTTAAGGGTTAAACTTTATGCTCTACTATAGGGGTGCTCCTATGTAAAGGATGCTTGTAAACAAAAGAATTTGTTATTTGTTCATTTATATGTCTTACTTAGTCAGGACTTTAAGCAGTAAATGTCATTTTAAAACTGAATTGAGTCAGTAAAGTCGGGAAGCTGACTATGCTAAGAAACATTGGATATTGGTCTATTGAATGGGGAAACCAGCATGTACCTATTTGCACATGGATAACTATTCTTCGTGACGATATCCGGGACCGGAGATCGGTTTTTAAAACGCTTGAAAGATTCAGATGAATGATGCAAATTTGAAGACGCCGGTAGCCAACTGCCAACAACTTGAACAAGTACTTGTTTCTGTTTATTTAACGAGACAAACACAATCAAGGAGCTATGAACGCATAGATAATCGCGGAAATAATACAGGTAACTCAAATAAATGATTTAATAGTGCAGAAATAAACAGAAATAGTGAGAATGATTTTCAACTTTTGACCTGATCAGTTCACAGTTGTAAAACTCCGTTTAAAATAAACACTCATTAGACACACACACATGTATACTCAAAAGTTGATACAAAACAAGAAAACTCGAAGAAAAAATTCCATCTTTGTCATGTTCGTCATCCAACTCATGGTTTGAAAAAATAATGTATGATTCTATGAATTGACCTCAGCTCCGGGCTCCTGTAGCCCTAGCTCCGGTTGATTATTTCTTTGTTCAGAGTCATTTAACCATATTGTAATCAGGTTACTAGGGCAAATAGAGGTATAAAAGAGAGAAGGAGCTACGATTTTGTGTACGAGAGAAATGCATTCAGAGATTTAAGATTATGCCACTGTATTGTTGAGCCTGCAGTTTAGATGTTGTAAACTTATATTACTGTAACTTTGGATTTTGAATAATTCAGTAATGAGTATTTAACTTTTAATCAACTTTGTGTTTATGTTCACTGGCAAGACTTCGTTCAGTCTACACCAGAACTCCCTCAATCACGCTACCAGTTCTTTTCTAGGGTAATCCTGTAACACTGTAATCAGTGACACTGTGTACGAGTGAAAGGCACGACCTGAAACTAATACACTCAACAACACAGCACAAACACAAGGATACACACTTTAGTTGAAGTTTTATAACCAACTTTTCGTCACAGGTTATACTTTGAGAATTTACATCATGTACATGCAACTTTTAAAAAAACAATTATTTCTTAAAATTGAAAAACATACATGCATGATTGAAATAGATAAAACCATGATAACATATATTATAATGTTTATTAGTCCCCTACCAGCAAAGCCAAGGGGACTTTAAGTAATGCTTGAAAATATTGATTTGATATTTATACATTGTATATAGTTTTACCATGACAAATTTACAGATCAAGTTCAATATTTATTCTGTTGAGATGTTTTTCTTTGCATAACTATGGTCCTTGGACTTAGAAAATTCAGGCAAATAATCTGTTTTTCACTTTCTTTGTTTGTTATACTTGGAGATATTGATTTGGTAATTGTCATGAATCATGATTGTTGTATAGTTTTACCATGACAAGTTGCATATACAATAATGAATTTAGGGCCCAAAAACAAGGATTTTCTGATTTCCATACATTAATTTGAATATAATATAAAAATAAGAAGATGTGGTATACTTGCCAATTAGACAACTCTCCATCCGAGATCAAATGACATAGAAGTAAATAACTACAGGTCACGGTACGGCCTT